AAATATAGCAGTGTCCAGTCTTGGTCTTGGTCTTGCAACAATTAGGCCGTCTTAGGCTTGGTCTTGCAAAAGTTCAGACCTATTTGGGACGACATAAGTGACAGGATAAAAAATCACATCAATTTTTCACAGAACTTGGAGTGAACCTAAGTTATCGCCTGACCAGAAACCTCAACTTAATTAATATGAACTTAAAGCATATTAAACGATAAGATTTTTCTAAAAGTGGGGTGTCTGTAGTATAGTTGTATAAATGTATAAAAACAAATCGCGAATAATTAAAGATTTTCGTAAAAACAGAACTAGTTTAGCCACTCAAAAGTCGTATTTAAATAGTTTTAACAATGGAAAACTCTATTTTCTTATTAATTAAATTTTGTCTCATTAAAAGTTAAGCAATTTATAATTAGTTAAATTTAACATTTCTTTCGTTATCACTTCCTATGAAAAAAATAAAACACTACTTTCTTAAAAAAACACAAGACTTGGATTACCTACTTTTATGCTGAAAACTGACCCGTTTATATGGAATTTTTTGCAGCTCTTTAGGTCCACTAACACTGTTATCAACATTTTTCTCTAATTACGAGACACGCTGTATATTTTAAGTTCAGATTGAAATTCGTTAATGAAGGCGGCTCGAATCTTATGACACTAACAGACTGAAGTTTTAGATTCCTTATTTTATCCCGTCAGTGCTTTTATTTATTTTTTTCTATTTTTGATAACAAAACTGTTTTCGTTCGCTAAAAGCCCCTAATCTGAAATTAGACTGAACATTATGATATAAACAAATATTCTATTTTTCAATTCTACATGTATTATTTTTAAAAAATGGATATAATTTTTATGTTATTGTATTACCAAATAATCACAGTTTCAATTCCCTCTTTGTTACAAATTATCCTGTTTTAAATATATTTACATATTCAATTTTATAATATCCATTCTCTATTTTATTTTAAATATCGTCAGCTCCGTTGTTTTATTTAAGAATAATAATTTTAGAAACAATTTATTTCCATATTTATGATTCATTATACCAGGTCTTATTACGCAGAGAGCTATAAGGCAGTAATTTATCGTGTTTAGAAACGTCATCTAGTTTCACCCACCCAAGATGACGGAAAAACGAAATCTCAAATCGTAAATTAATATCGAAAGCTCTGATAACTTTCTAATTAGATCGAAAATCGAATCGAACCGAATGTGTTCGCATATTTTGCGTCGATCTAACGAGTCACTCGTGTTTGTTCGTTCGACGAATTGGCAAGCAACCCTGAGCAGTCATCATAATCGATTTGCGATTCCTTCAATCATTCGGCGGCCGCGTTTGAGAGTGGTTTCGGACTTGTTTTGCTAGCAAACAGTCATTACGATCGGAGGACTTGCGTAATTACACGGTGTCGGATGGAAAGCAGGAACGGATGAAGCAGCACTCAGAGAGAGTGACTGAAACTTCCCTGTGACATTGCAGTAATAACTGCAGTCTATCTTTAGACGAGACAAACATACATCATCCTATTTTCTCCTCTTGTGCATAGTGCTGTAGTTTTATTGCTCTGCTTTGTACAGTGTCATATTGTTTAAACCACTCAAGTGAAAATCAATTCGAGAATGTTTTCTAATACTCCCTTGTCTTTTGTTTTTATCTTATGATCTTACCTTTTTTTTTAGCATATTTACTGAGAGATATTACAATCTATCATAATTAAGGACATTTACAATAGAGTTCAGATAGCACATTCACACTCTATTTACCATAAATTAAAAAAAAAATATATTAAAAGTAAATGTCTTCTATATAAATTAATAAAAAATAAACTAAACTAAGCAAAATTAATTTGGATAATTACCCAAATACACACATATATACACGATTCTATACAATATATAACAAATTCATTCACTCATGATTTTCGATTTTTCCACTCGTGGAAGGAAAGGCAGGACTCTAGGGATACCAGCGCCTCTCACTCAGCCGCATTACTGGTATTAAGGACCAGACAGATTTTTAAATATATTTATTGAGAGATATTACAATCTGTGACAATTAAGGACATTCCGAACAATGATCTTATACTACGTAAAAATGTCAAATAATAGGAACTAAGAAGAAAGAATTTGCAACGAATAAACAAAATTATAATTTTTTTTTCTAGTATTGCAACAATTTATATCATAACATACGATTCACTCATGTAAGGCAGAAATCTTCTACTTTACCAGCAGTGAAAATGTTGGTACTCATTGTATGCAAAGTTGATGCTCTACAACTAATGTTATGTGAGGTTGTTCATAGAAAACTCATTTCCATGCTGCAGAGCCATTTATATTAATATGTTTCAGTTTTTGACACATTTGGTAAAAATGATCATTCGTTGACTGGTTACTACACAACCAAATTATTAATTTTTTGAAGAGTAAATTGTTGCTTGGATGTATTATTCAGAAATTATAAGTAAAAAAAACATAAAAGCTCTATTATAATCTAGTTTTTTTGGCTGTCAAAAAATCTCTCGAAATGCCAATGATAATATTTTTTTTTATTGGTTGAAACTTATTCATACATGTTTTTTTTTTTTTTTTAATTTATTTATTACCAGATCGGCCTGGTGGCCCTTACATGGTTGTTGTAACAATTTGATGATTTTTAACAATTTGTTCTGGTGGGGTATAGTCTTTGCAAAAGACACCCCTAACTATTTATACATTATAATTATTGAATAATTACAATTAATAAAGAGAAAATTATTAATTGTTCATAACATGATGTCTTGGATCAGTCTGGACTTCAGTCTTCGAGATGAGGTTGGGTTTCCTAAGTTGTAGGCCACTGCACTTTTAACTGCTGGTAGCTGCGTATGGAATTTTTTAAATCGTTTTTTGATGAATTCATCTATTGTTTCCAATTTTAGTTCTCGATGTAGTTGAGCGTTTCTTATGAACCAGGGGGCATCTACTGCAATTCTTAATACCTTGTTTTGAAAGGATTGTAGTTTTTTTCTTTTCGTAGCTGAAGCGGCTCCCCAGACTTCACATCCGTACATTAGCAAGGGTCTTAGTATGGTTTTATGAATAAGAACAGTTGTCTCTGGTTTTAAACTAGATTTTCTATTTACTATGGGATATAACATTGCTAACCTTGCGTATGTTTGGGTCAGTTTATTATTTATATGGTAATTCCACGTAAGGCGGCGGTCCAGATAAACTCCGAGGTATTTTACTGCTTCACTAGCTGGGTTCCATTTTAATTCTTTATTTTTGAGAATCAGATCAGGTGGGTCTGAGGGACGTCTAAGAGTAAAAATTTTTGCTGTATATTTTTCGGTGTAGAGACAAATCATCCATTTTTTTAAATATTGTTCTAGATTTACTAGGTAAGACTGCAGTGTATTTCTGGCTATTAATATATCATTGTGTTGGGAAAAGACAGCTGTATCGTCGGCAAACATAGCTATGAAGGTGTTTGTGGATTGGATAATGTCGTGAACATAAAAGTTAAAAAGTATGGGAGAAAGAACAGAACCTTGTGGGGTGCCGGCATGGATTTGTCTTAAGGTTGAATTTATATTATTTATTCTACCTGTAAATGTTCTGCCGTTGAGGAATGAGCTCAGAACGTCATATAAATATTTGGGAGTGTCCACTTTCTTTAGCTTGTACAATAGACCACAATGCCAAACCTTATCAAACGCTTGTTGAAAGTCTAAAAACGTGACAAGAGTATGTTTTTTCATTTCAAATCCATTTACTATGAATTCTGATAATCTTGCCAGTTGGTGTGAAGTGGAATGACTATACTGAAAACCAAATTGAAAATCAGGAATAATGCTATTACATTGTAAAAAGGATGCAAGATGTCTTTTTATGACTGACTCTAGTAATTTTCCAACTATGGGTAATAAACTTATCGGTCTATAGCTACTGACTTGTTTAGCGTTTTTACCATGCTTATGAATTACTACGAGTTCAGCTTTCTTCCACGTTTCGGGAAAATATCCAGTGCGTAGACAGCTATTAAAAATAGACGTAATGTAAACGAGAGCTTTTCTAGGAAAATTTTTTAAAGCAATAACTGGTATAAGGTCATGTCCTGGACTTTTTTTTACTTTGAGACTCCTAATTAGTTCTTGAATTTCTTTAGGGGTTGTGAATTTAATGGGAAGCTGTACAGTTGTTAGGGGCAATTTTAAATAATCTTCAACATCAACATTTGGTGAATGCGGACTTCTTTCGTATTCTGGGTTTGAGAACGTTTTCTCAAAGTAATCTGCAAATGCTTCAGCTTTTTCTGCGTAACTGATGATGTATCCTCCATTCTCTTCCAGACTAGGAATTTTCTCAAATTTGCTTAGTACACGCCGAGTAGCCTTCCACAGAGATTGGTCCTTTGGGTCTAAATCTTTTACGTAATTTTGGTATTTAGAATACACCCATTCATCCAGTTCTTTTTTAATTACGTGTTTGAGGTGGTTCCATGTCTTTTTGTAAGTAGGATCTCTGTTGCGCATCCACTGTCTCTTTGCATGGTTCTTTTCTTTAATTTGTCATTTAATTTTTATTTAATTAATTAATTAAATAATTAATTAATAAATTACAAATAAATTAATAAATTAATAATAAATTATTACTAAATTAATAATTAATAAATTAATTATTAAATAAATTAAATAAATAATTAATTAATTTTAATTAATTTTATTTACTTAATTTAATTTTTTTTATAATAATAATAAATTTATTTATTGAGCAATTTTACAAATGCCTTATGGCATAATTTGTAAATGTGATGTTCGTTTGCGAACCTCCTCTCCGGGATTAGCGTGAATGCGAGATTGGAGAAGCCTCCCAGTGAAGGCACTCCTAACGTGACTTAATGCAGCAGGTCTCTGCTCCAGAGGCGTTTGAGTCTCCTTGTTGGTTTCTAAATATTTAATGCAGATTCTATAGGCTTCACTTGTTCTAATTTTTAATGTAACAATCGATTTGTTAGAAAATCATTCAAAATTGTTTTCTCCTAAAAGGCTTACTAAATTCGTGCATAGAGTTTGGAAGTTTGTTATGCCTTTTATTTTAATTGGAGGTGGTTGATGAGCAACTGTTGTTTCGTCAGGTTCGTCTTCCATTTCGGTAGAAAGAGGTTCAAACCTATTACTGACCGGAACGTTAGGGATACTATTTATTGTTGTTGGCGTATTTGTTGCATTTGAGCTCTGAACAACATTTTCTGGTACTCCAGTTTTGTTAGCATCATGTTCTAGTATAGATTCACTGATATGTGTCGTAGAGTTATTATTTTCAATAATTAAATTATTCATTTCATTATTTGTGGAGTTAAGGAGGTTATGTAAATTAACATATGTTTGCTTTTGGTTAGGATTTTTTGATGTAGTTTTTATCACATGATTGTTTGAATTCGCTCTCTTTTTCTCATTCGTCCCGTCTTTCGATGAAATACTTGAATTGGATCTTACCTTTCTCTTCAGCAGTTTTGACAAAACGGCCTGATCCGACAGTCCACTCGAGCCAGCTAACTGGCGTGCACTCATAAGTAAAGTATCTGTTTTCACTTTAAAAACTATACAACCCGATTATGCCTTTAAAGAGAACACATTTTCACTATAAGACACATATCAAATACAATAATAGAATAATTTATAAGAAGAAGAATTTTTTTTAGCAACCGCACTGTTCAATCGTAACAGCTGATATTCAATTTAATGAAAGCAAAATATACATCCAATCCCGGCGCTATAGTAGAACCATATAAACACACAATTTGTAGATTGGGAACTTTGTGGGCAGGGATGCCACAAAACAATCCAATATCGTATGTCACTTTCCAAACAATTTTTCTATTCACTTCACCTGACCGCATCCAAAAGGTGTGGATAGATTTTAGCTCTTACTTTCATATTCATCGAAAAATAGATATATTTGTTATCTAATCATAATAATTCATCAAAATAAGACTAAGGGTTTATTATTTTTTTATTCATTCTGTTACAAGTATGTAATATTTTGTTTATTATGTACTGTATTGTTTCTATACGTTTAGCTAAACAGTGTAAGAGAGATGAATAAAGCTATTAAGCAAACTTAAATGTGCTACATTTTTATAAGGATATCAATGTGCAATGCAGACTCATTGACTTACTTCTAAAGACGAAGTAATGCCAGTAGCGGAAGCAGGATTTGATTTGGGGAAATCTAACTCCGATGATCTAGAGTAGAGATAGGACACACGAATAATTTGTTTAGTTCGCTTATTAAACTTTATTTTTTTTTACCCCATTTGCATTCAGAACTTACAGTCCATATCGAAATAGTTAAAGCACTTAGATCAAATCATACAGAGATCTAATAAAAAAAAAAAAAATTTGGTACTCCAAAACCCTCTTCAATTCAAAGGAGTCGTATTCGTTTCCCAATACTATCAATCAGCGATCAATTATCTTGACTGTTTTGGTTATTTTTCATTATTATACTTCTAATTTACAGAAGCATAAATGTTCCAGTCAATTTATATGAACTGGAGTCTATATTCAATTTTCGAAAATTCACTAGTATTGCACTAATCTTACCGTAACAAAGTTGGAAAATATCTACTAAGTTCTATAGTTGCCTTGAAAAAAAATAATCTGGTGTGCTGCGCATATCACACTGCTTTTATTGACCACCCTTCTCTAAGTAAAAATGAAAACTTCCGTATATTGTTGAATAAGAAATTATAGTTTACATAACATATTCATTTAAAAAAATTAATAGACATACGTTTCCTCCGACCGCTTAATCTATTAAACTTGCGTTTTTTGTCACTCTCCATTACCTTCTACAGATATATATTTTAGATATTAATTTTTCTAAAACTTTTATTTTTACGATACCTTAAAGTTGTATAGAATTATCTTTATTAACGGCAGAGGTGCTCAGAAGGGTGTTTCATGGCGCTAATTGAGGGGAACGAATTTCGATGGATTTATGAATTTTCGGGCTAAGGGACGACAAGAGGAAATACGAAACATACTGCAGCAAGTGTAATTGCATATGATCTACGATTTTTCTAATTTTGCTTAGTTTTTAAGAAACGTGAGCAATAAAATATATTGGGAGGAAAGGGAGTAGATTCTTGCGCCATCGACCTTGGATGGATGAGCACCCCCTGACTACCGGAAATTACCCTGTTTTCAACATAGAAAAATATTAGCCCTTTTATTTTTTCTACAATTAATCATAAAATTCTTTTGTAAATTAAATTAATAATTTTTTTTTTACTACTTCTATATTTATTACTAATTGAGCTTGATAGAGGTAGATTTTTAAAAGAAACATTAAGCATAAAAACCTGTAAAGATAAAAACTACCCATCCCCACAACCATAATCCTCCTCGTAGGTTAAAACGGCCGTGGTCCCTAGATGTTTTGTAAATATATATACATTGAAGTTACTGCAATGCCAGATTACCTACTCCTGCCATGTACGTCTGTGGTTATAGCCTCTCTGCTGAACCACCATTGGTCATTTATACCAGTGACATTTTAATTTTTTCTCTTTGATTAATATTTTTATTTTTTTTACCCATATGTTAGATTATATTCCAGAAATCATTATTCTTTTAGTTTAAATGCCCTTTTTATCTGTTAACTTATCTTTTTTACTCTTTAATATTTCATTTTAATGGTTTATGCCAACTTTTCTTCTTGTAATTTTTAATATTTAAAATGTATTTAAGCATTTAGCTGTAAAAATGTATTTAGCTTTTGTTCTTAAAATTCTTTCCTTTATTTTAATTGTCTGTGTTAACTTATCTATTTAAAATCTTTTACCTTTCTATGGGTTTTACTTTTTATTCAAGGTCCTATCATATTCATCTGTAACTATTCTAATTTAAATTGTATTTATTAGGCTGTCTATTGTTATGTGTTTAGTATTATCAAATTGTTATATAGATCGAAAATGACCTAGTGGGTGAAGAGTCTAAAAATTTATAGATAAATAAAATTATGTATGACGATGCCGAGAGAGAGGTGCTGCGATCTCTTATACTTTTTTACATGTAGTGAAAAAGCTCTACTCTGTCCATCATGAGTGTTTGGAAGTACTGCATAGAAGTATACCTTTATTCAAGTTATTTTGATTTGTCTAGGTTTTATTTCCTTGATATATATTTATTTATATTATTTTTTTATTTTTTTTTATTAGAAATAAACATTTTGCCAATTAGGGCTTTTGAGTTATTTAGGGAGAATGAAATACAAAAATACCATATATACAATAAAAAGAAAAAAACAAGATTATAACAAAATAAAATAAAACTTAGAGTAACAGAAATAAATCGATCATGATAAAAATTATAAAAAAAATAAATTAATAAAAACCACACATTATATTAATTAATATTATTAACAAAACTAATGGTAATGGTACAAAAATACATATATTTGCAAGTAGCAACAGATTTTTTTGTTTACGATGCTCATCTTGCTCGCATCATATTGCTTTTTGTAATAGCTTTATGTTAGCAGAGAATTATTTCGTGTCAAAGTAAAGCGGGAATTAAAATTGTGATGGGTTACGCCCAGAGTTTTTCTAATTATTTCCTTATTTTTATATTGCACGAGAACAAAATGTATTTAAACGTAGTTTTAGCGGAGAAAGTTCTGATACGTGAACAATTTATCTGGATACCCATCCAAAAAACATGATTTAGTTAACTCATGTTCCTTATGGTATAGTCGCAACTTCCTTATGCTTTAAGCCAGTGATTTCCAAACTACTGTCCGCGGGCCGGGAATCCTGCACGCTAGCACATTCAATCCGGTCCGCGAAAGTTTCTTCGATTGCTTGGTAAAATATTTAAAAATGTAAAATTTAGTAAATTGCTCACACACGAGAGTTCAACAATATTTATTTCATCGGTTTTCTTCTCTTAGAAGATCATTTCACAGAGTGTGTAGTTATTAGGACACATTATTTGTTCATAAAATAACTATAATTCAATGACTAATTAACATTGGGCCCATTATTCTGTTTGTTTTGATAAATAATATTTTAGTACATCAACTAATTGCTCATAAGTTATAAATTAAATACAATATAAATTTTAGTATAAATCGGTTCATCTGTTTTTCTTTGAACAACGGAGACGTAGCTAACTTTTGGATCTTCCCTTTCTGCTAAACTGTTTCTAGGTCCATAAAAAACAATAGGAATAAGTATCGTTGAATAGGAGTGCCCATTCTTCCTGAGGTTGAAGGCGCAAAATCCTTCCCCCGCATTTCCGAGAAATTTCTTTACTCTAATCTTCTTAAAAACAATGGAAGTGAAATTAGAATTATAAAAATCGTAGATTCCATATAATTAAACTTGCTGTGGTCTGTTCCAAATTTTGCACCCTTGTTGCGAAAAATATAAAGGGGGGGGGGGGTTTTTTGGGGATAATTATAACTACAAAGTGTGACTATCGAAAATTCAAAATCCCATCAAAATGGGCATCCTTCAAAAATTTTGATGGCGCCACTTGAGACCACTATGATACCAGTTGCTAGGCATCACTGACTTCGAAACCACTGTTTTAAAATTAAAAGAGTTCTTAAAAAACATTGTTTTAATTTTAAAATTAAAAGTATGTATTAAGTCCATTTTTTATTCCGCAATATCCCTCAGTGTTGATTTAAGAAGTATCTGTTTATCATATTCCTTGACGTTCGATATCTGAACCTTTCAGTTGACAGAATGCTATCAATATAGTATCAATTTTATTTATGTTTCTTCTTTAGGAAATTCTTTACTTTTTTGTGAAATGTATGGAATATTTATTATCAGTTATCAATTATTAATACTTACTTGAAAAAAGTAAGAAATTTTCAACGAAAAACACTACACTCATTTTCCTAAAACATGTGTGATTTAATCATTCTGCCAACTGAAATACTTTTAATAATAACCTGTAAAACGAAACGCAGAATTTTTTATCAACATGCTGATCCAATTCTACTCAAGATAATCAACCAAGCTTTAATAGAGTCATATAATTTGCATCAAAATGGTGTAATATTACTTTCACCCCTGACTCATTACTTTCGCTTACAGCAAGGTCGGCATATCATCAATGGCTCTGTGATATCAATCGGATCCAATAATTGCCCCGCAGTCAATTATTTAGAAAAGGTTGACGGCTAACGAATTTTCTAATCTCTTCCAGGCATGTTATTAGTTTCGAAGAAGTGAGCAGATTATCGATGCTGAAGGGGGTATCAATTAAATGATTCTAACCCGGTGCCTTATCGCATGCCAATTTTAGGAGGAAAGGATGTGGAAATGTCTGCAGATGGAACTCCAGGGTAGAGATTGTATGTTTGAAGGAGTCTCTCGTTGGTTCGAATATTATGTTTTTTTTATGAACCCAGTACGAAATGTATACAAACTTTTGTTGGGTAATATGAATAAATAGTTATTGATTTCTTTTTCAGTTCTAATTTTAATCAGTTGAATACTGCCATGTATTCATCATGATTATGAAACAGGAATGAATGTATAGTACAAATT